GGGGGGGAACATGGCTGCGACGTGACCGAGCTAAATAAAGCCATCCTGTCCCTGGTGCCAGCTGGGTTTGGGATGGGGGGGACCAAGTGGGACCTCTCCGTGAGGGGTCCAGGGCAAGGGAAGGTGCTGTCCCCATCCCCATCTTTGTCCCCATCCCCGTCCCTGTCCCCATGCCCACCGTCTCCTAAATATAGCCCACCCCGTTGTCCCAGGACGCCTGGTGCCACAGGGACATGTTTCTGCCCCAGCTGGGTGTCCTGGGGGGGCTGTGGGCACCCGTGGGTCATCCTGGGGTCTCTGGGCAATGGGGAAACTGAGGCAGGGAGGACCTGTGGTCCCCAGCCCCAGCTCTAGCCCCCTGCCTGGCTGCAGCCGTAGCACTGGAGGGGTCCTGGGCCACTCTCCCCGACCACCGTGTCCTCCCCGACCACCCTGTCTCCTCCGAGACCGGAGCCATCTTCATCCACGAGCTGGAGCGGGAGCTGTTCCAGGAGGCCTTCCTCACCGGGCACGAGGATGATGGCGGTGAGGGCCAGGCCAAGGGCAGTGGGGACGAGGGGGTGTCCTGCAGTGCCTGGGGCGGGAGGGGGTCTGGGGCTGTTAATGGGGGCACCGGCTCCCCACCAGGCATGACCCCAGCTGGGCCATCTGTCTGTCCCTCCCTCCATCCTTCCATCCCTTTATCCATCCAGTCCTGTGCACCTCCATCCATTCTTCCATCCATCCCATCCTCCATCCATCCTGCCCTCCATCCCCCACCACCCCTCCACCCATTTGGGGACACCTGAGCATCACCCCATCATGCTGCTAAACCCACCCGGGAGCAGCATCCCTTCATCCCCCACCACTGAGGGCTGGGGGTCACCTCCGTTTGGGGTCATTCACCTCAAAAAGGGGATCAGGACCCTCCTGGGGCACAGCTGGCGCAGGGACCAGTCATGCTTCCTTGGTGGGACCAGTTGGATGGTGAAGGGATTGCAGGGCAGGGGTCTGCCTGGTGGCATACGTGTCCCCATGTCTGTGTCTGTCCCCACCCATCCGTGCGTCCCGGCACCCAGCAGCCACCCCCATCACCTTCCAAGCCCACCTCCGGAACCACCCCGACCTGCCACGGTGGCTGCGGTACATCCAGCGTGACCCCCGCCAGCCGGGCTACCTCTACGGTTGCCCCACAGCTGCCGAGGTGGGCACCCACGCCATCGAGGTAGGTGCCTGCCCCCACGGCCCCGTGCCAGGGGTGACACGGGGGGCGGCAGGTGGAGCTGGCATCTTCGGGGGTCTCTCCTTGGCTTGCAGGTGCTGGCATACAACCGGCACACCTACGAGACGGTGGCACAACGGCTCATCATCACCGTCATCCCTGCTCCAGGTAAGGGCTGTGCACCCCCAAATCGCACCGGGCTGTCCCAGAGCCCCCCCGGGTCGGGCGTGGGGTGTCCCCACAGATGCCACATATCCCCCACAGATGGGGAGCCGCCATACCAGGGCGAGTTCCTGGTGGGGAACAGGAACGTGGAGGAGCTGCTGCCGGAGGCTGCGCAGGAGATGTTCCTCCAGGCCACGGCCGGTGTCTGGGAGCAGGACGACCTCCATGTCATCAACATTACCTCCGCTCTGGACCGGGGCGGCCGCGTCCCGCTGCCCATTGAGGGGCGCAAGGAGGGGTACGGGTAGACCTGGGGGGTGCTGGGGTTGCTCCTGGGCAGACCCCCAGCTTCGTGTGTAGGTTTTGGGGGGCCGCCTCCAGTCGGTCCCCCCCACCCTGCCAGGGTGTACGTGAAGGTGGGCTCCAGCGGTGCCTTCTCGCCGTGCCTGGCGTCGGCCGCCTCGCCGCAGAGCCGCTTCCGCTGCAGCCTGGGCCAGCAGCCCCTCGCCTCCTGCTACGACACCTTCACCCCCCACTTCTCCATTCGCTGGTGCAACCTCACCCTGGTGAGACCCACGTCACCCCCCACCCCATGCAACGACCCCCGTGGGGACCCTCCACCCCCTCTAACCATCCCCCCATTGCAGCTGCAGGTCTGGCCCAGCCCCACATCGCCAGGGCTGGCGTGGGGTTCCGGGGTGCTGGAGGAGGGTGGGGATTTCCAACCCCCCACCGAGGTGCCCCCCCGGGACCTGCTGCCCGGGTACCTGGTGACGCTGCTGGTGCCGCTGGCGGTGGCCGCGCTGCTCTGCCTGCTCCTGGGCCACCTCATGTGCTGCCGCAGGGAGGGAGTGTGAGTCAGGGGGGCACGCTCAGGGTGGGGGTCCCCCCACCCCAACCAGGGCATGGGCACCCCAGGCTGGGTGACCCTTCCCCAGCCGTCATGGCCCCATGACAACCTGGGGGTGGTGAGAGCCCTTCTCACAATCATTTTTTTCCCCCTTTTTCCTCCATATTTTAGGCAAAAACGGGACTTGGAGACGTCTGAGTAAGTCCCTGCGCCCGGGCTGAGCCATGCGGGTGCTGGGGGGCTGCTTTGCGGGGGGCTTCGTCATGGCCAAGCACAGGGAGGGCCAGCAGGGATGGGGACGGGGAGGAGAGGGGGACGGGGAGCGGTCGGCGCTCTGGGGGATGTCATGGACGTGGTGGAGCCTAAAGATCTCCCCATCCCGAAGGGGCCCCCCAGCCCCCCTCCTCCACTCCCCACGCCTCGGCGCCCCCAATAACCCCCCACAGACGCGGGCTGGAGCACAAGAGCTGGTTTACTTCTCCAACAGCCTCGGCTGGACTCAACACCAGCAAGGAGGATCCCAACGATGGGGTGCAGACCCCAATGATGGGTGGGCAGACCCCAATGATGTGGGTGGAGAACCCCAGTGATGGAGGGCAGACCCCCAATGATGGGGAACAGACCCCCAGTGATGGGGGACAGACCCC